TAAAAGCGCACCCTTGCGGCAAACTGCCAAACTTCAATATACACGTATTTTACAAAAAACCATCAATGCTGCGTCACCCTTAAAAACGGTGTGTAGGATTGTCATGACGTCACCAGTAAAATAAACCTTAAATGTAATGCTGCGTCAATATACGACGCAGCATTACACCTGACGCAGCATTGAATGCAAATTTCATAATGTATTGACGCAGCATTGTAGGCGGGATGTATATATATACATACATATATATACATACATACACGCACACACATATACACACATATATACATATGCACACATATATCTACACAGAGAAAATGATTATGAGATTTAATTAAATTTATTTAAATCAAAATAAATTATTTATTTTGATAAACCCAAATAAATATTTTCTTATGTAATGAAAAACAAACAAATTTCTTTAATTCAAAACATCTCCCTTCTCTGTGCACACACATATGCATGTATATAGGCTACAGCCCTTCTGCACTGCCCTAATTTAGGGTAACAGTGATAGTAATTTGGTACTTACTTGCTATAATTATTTAGTTCACTACTGATCCGAGATCCTCGTCGCCAATTTGTGCTAACCCGTGGGTAGGGGTTCCATTTATTAAAACACAATATAGCACAAAAGTATTATTTATTAATTCACTAGATTATTATTTAGTAATTCATGAACTCTATATATTTAATAACTAGACAAATACAACTTATCGCGACAGTGTTCACACACGCACTGATTCTTTCCGAAGTTATTCATACAACCCAACGGTCCATCTTATGTAATCGATGACTACTAATTACTAATCGGTCTCCACAAGTTATTTGTTAATTTGTTTGGTTAATTAAATGAGCTTTAAATAAACCAAAAAATGGAATACATAACAATACTCGGTGGTATAGTATTCAGCACTGCGGACTAGCTATTACCCAATAAATTCCACATTGTCAAAACCATTTTTTTTTTAAATTTAATCGTTTTAAATATGACATAATTTCACCAGGATTGAATTTTGAAAAGGGAAAATGCATGTAGTACTTCTGTATTGTTATCACTTAAGACGGGTGCTTACAAAAACTAAGGCCACAACAATTGGCGCCGTAACTACGGTTGAATGCGTTAACCCAGCCTGGCCTCCAGGCGAAATTGGTTTACGTCGAAGAATATACGACTTGTAATAAAGGCTGCCAGATTTTCAAATTCAAAATGCGGGAAGTTAAAAAAAGTAAAAATTTAATTCAGACAAAATTATACATTTTGGTCGATCATAGGAGATTCCAACTTAATCGAAACTAAAGTTATACATAACATTAAGAGTATTTAGGGTTTGTTTCCACTCTTTTAAAAATACCATTTCCATTATTGGTAAAAAATTTGGCAAATTCCTGACAAGATTCAGTAAAGCCAAACCAATAGATGACTATCTTAAAGAGTATATAGTTTGGAGCCAAATGAAGCGCCCTCTCTATACTTGGTTAAAAATTAAATTACATGTTTACAGGCAACTGTTGCCAACATAGCTTTTAATTGGTGGAAAATCAACCTATTGGATTGGTTACTTCAATGGCACTATATTTAAAATCTAACTTGCGGCTAGATTTTAAAAGTAATTAGTAACGAAAACAATAACTTTGTTTTCTACCATGTATTTAAGGTACTTCTTTTTGGTATGTACTTCTGTGGCTATGTTGTTTAGTAATTCTCAAGCAACTTTTATAAACTAAAGAAACTCGCAGATTTATGGAAAAGCAATGAGGAAAACAAATGTATGTAAATGTAAAACAAGTGTATTTAGTATCCATTTGTGAAATCTGTGATTTTTGTAAAACTCGTTGAATTATTATCATACTTATTACCAAAAGTAGGTACCTACCATTCATATATGGTAAGAAAAATTGTTTTTGTTATTTATGATAGTCCACCAAAAGTAACTGTCTCATTGATCATTATTTTGAAATAGAAGAATACTATTAAATCCTTACTTGAGGCTTACAGGTGCCTCCGTAAGAAACCCAACGTTTAAAACAATTATTCAACAGCACAAACCCAAAGCACAAGAATTGTAAACAACAAAAATGGCCACCGTTAAACTCTGTAAAGTGTTGCAGTGATTTTTAGTATTTTTAGCATGATATAGAACAGACCTTGTTGTGTGGATTGTGGTTAAATCCTTAAATTTTATTAAACAATATATATATATATATATATACCACCTGAGAGATTATGATTCGGTCAAAGTGTCATTTGTAAATTAATATTATAATACAAACCTTAGAAACATTACACAATAAAAACACGCAAATACACAAAATCTTACTAAAATGCGATAACTACGGATATAATTGAACGTCAAAAAGGTCAAAAACGTTAAAACGTCAAAAATTATAAAATCCGCGCCCTCTCTTGGCTTGGCTAAATATTATAATACTGTCCCGACATCCGACATAGATATTTATCTATTGGTTTGGTCTAGGCTCTAGACTCTAGGCAGTAAAGTTATGTTTAGTTACGATTCCGGGGTTTCCAGAAAAAGTGAATTTCTCTCTTTTCTCCATGCAATAACCATTTACTTAAAAATTCTCTAGCATGGCGGAAATAAGGTAAAAACGTTTTCTACAGTACAAAGGTTATAAAGTTGTCAATGAAGTGCTTTTGCATAGGTATTTGTAATACAAATATATTTGAATACCTATTCTGGCACACTCTATTGACAACTTTATAACAAAAAATATATAAAACAAATAAGACAGTTGATAAAAGGAACTTGATAATTATAATCTATGATCATTTCGTAATTATATAGGCTTAAAATGTGAATTTACGGAAGGTTTTTAAGGAAGTCAGGTGCTTTACGACGTCGTTTAAAAATCGGGAGGCTTGCTGTAAAACCAGCATACTCCCGCCTAAATCTATATATATTACAAGTAAGGCTGCCATTACTTGTAATATATATTTTTAATTTCTTTTATTTGTTTTTTCTGTATAAATATCACTTGTCTCTGTAAATGCACCTGTTAATATGTAAATCTAAATTAAAATTATTTTTAAATTTAAATTTGAGTTTGACTGCGGACTACAAGCCGAGAGGTAATAGATTCAAATCCCATAGCTGTTTATTTGTATTTATCAGTGTGTGCTCCTGTAATTAGGCCTGGTGACTGTTGGAAGCACAATAAATTAATAATATAATATAAAAAATAGACCAATTACTACAAAATAAAAATGTGATTTAAAATTAAGTTTGTTTTTTAAATTTATGTGGAAAATATAAGATAATTACTAAACCGCTGTAAAGCTGACCGGCCTACTTTAACGCTCTGTATATACGAAACGCGTCATTCAATTTTATAATTATTGAAGTACAGTATATACCTCGTATGTTTCAACTGTTTTAAGTTTGGTCAAAATTGCTGATGACGAGGCAAATGGTGGCAGACGCGTTTTGCCTCAGGAGTAAAATTAAGAAACCCGTCAGTTTTGAAATCTACGATATTTTATTAATTTATTTACTCAAAAAAGCCTCCAACGCTATGTGGAAGATTATTTTAAGTATACAACAATTTCAAAAAACAACTGATTTTTTATAAGTATTTTTGTTAAAGAGTATTTCCATTGTAACGGGTGCGACACTAAAACTGCGTTTTTTCATGAAAATAAAGTGTTTGTTCATATATATCAAGATACGTTAATATAAAAAAATAGTATAAAAACTAGGTATTTAACTCAAACAAAATGTAAATAAAAACTTGTAAAGAAAACCTTTTATAACGTCATGAATAGCGTAACGGGCGCGACCTTAAAAAATCGGCAAATGCGACCAAGTTGGCTTCTAAAGTTGATACTATAAAATTTTGGATGAAAGCATATATGCTATTTATAGTAATAATTTTTTGTGTAAAACTTGAATAGTAACCTTAAACAAGCACGTATTTTAAATGCACAAATATTGTAGACTTTATTTTCTAAAATTTTCTCAAAATGTAACGGGTGCGACATTTGAACATTTTATCGAGTATTGAAACTCTTCCGTGTTTATTCTTTATGTTAGCTTCTTGGCATCACAATGTACGAATATTTTAAGGGTATAAATTACGTCGCAATTAAACTATTTGACTGTAGTTGTTATTTTGTTAAATAACACATCTGATTTTTTGTCAATGTGGAGTAAGGTTTCGTGGAAATACCCTAAAAAACTTGGCAAAGATGCTTATTTCTTATTTAAAATGATTGTATGTATTTTCTAAAAGTTTGTGGTTAACTTTATGTAACTTTAAAATTTAAATTAAAATACATAATTGGCATCATTATAACTTTGTTTTAATTATATTAATAATATTATCTAACAAAGTTAAAACATTTTATTTTTAAACCTATTTTTATCTATCATTCGAAGTTAAATCTTTTTATTTTTAAACCTATTTGTATCTACCAGTCAAAACATTAATAAAATAACAAAAATAAAATTACATTTTTACCAAAAAAGTTATGCATCACAAGTATCATTCATCTATCATTAGGTATTTATTCCAATAGCCTATGTAACCATATTTTTTTCATGTAACTGACTGTTGATCAATTTAGATAAGTACCCATGTGAAAAAAAGAAAAACGGGTAATAACAGTACATGAGTATAATAAACTTATAATATTAGTATGATTTCAAGCATTTCCAGGTAAGACATTGTCCTCCTTGCTACCTGGAACTCTGTTAATATTTAAATACAAAATATATTCTTTTCATTAAATAACCTTAGGGTAGGGTTATATATTAATGCGCCAATTTACTTACAAAGTATTTCTTTAATCAAACCATGTTATAGAAATTATTTTGAGCATACAGGGGACAAATAATAAGCTTGCTACAAAACTAAAAATGTTATTAATATTATTAAATTGCTTGAGTAGGTAGATTTTACCTACGATATAGTCTATTGTTTGTGGTGTTGTATTGTATACATATATTTATTGCTAGAATAAATTGTTGCTTTTTTGCTAGTGAATTTGCCAAAGAAAGAGAAAAGGTAGAAAATCGGCAAGAATTTTTAAAATTAAGAAGAGCAGCACAACTAGAACGAGAACTAAATGGTTATGTACAATGGATATGCAAAGCAGGTAAAATTAATAAGAAGATAACAAAACCACAAATATAAAAATCAATAACATTCATAATTGCAACAATATTATAAATTACAGAGGAAGTTATTTTGGCGGAAGAGCGAACAACAGAAGAAGAAAAATTACACATAATGGAAGCTAGAAGAAGGGCGGCAAAGAAAAAGAAACTGAAAAAGATGGGAAAAAGCAAAAGTACCGATACGGAGGAAGAAGAGCAAGAGGAAGAAGTCGGCGATGATGGTAAGAGATATTGGTTTCAATTAAATTTAAAAACATATGAATAGGTTTATTACAAATTAGTAACATTCCAAACGGTTTTATATTTAGTATAGAATATTACAAAAAACTTTAAAAAGTATTTATCTTTAATCGATCCATAAATTAAACTTAATCGTTGTCAACAATCGATACTAAAGTGATTGATTATGAACTAGGCACATAAAAATAATTTAGACCAAACTACTAGTAGTTTTATGAGGCTAGTAGCTCATTATATAGGTACCGTATTTGGACCAATCATAAAATTCGATATCTGTCGGAAATATCACTTACTTTCTACTTTTGATACGTTTTACTTATCGTTTAACAAATTTATAGACCGATTAAAGATAAAATGTTGTATGTCATTCGCCCAAGAAGGAGTTTTTGTCACTTCTTAGCCTAATAATAATTATATATTGTTTTTTAAGAGAAAATAGAAAATTGTTCAACGATTGAGAAAGTTGGCCATTTCCTTGAGGATGAAATATTGCGAACCAAGCCAAAAGCAAGTGGGATAATTCATCCAAGTTAACATGGCCATTTCTCAAAAATTGAACTATATTTTTTCAAATATTATTAAAGAATTTTGTACAATTTTTGTAATTAACCTAACCACCTTTGATGATAAGTGTCAATTCATTTTTAAGAAAATAATAAACCACCTTATACGCTAAAGAGGCATCGCTAGTAGCGGCACCACTTGTCCGGTATCATCGTAACAAAAACTTTTAGTAATCAAACGCGTACGTTACAAACGAAAGTTTACTATTTTAAATTGCAGTTGTCTGCAAGCTTTTGACTGAAATATAAATTATATTAAGTAAAGTTATCATTAGTTAAATTCTGCAACAACAAATATATGTGCCAAATTGTATCCTTTTATCATTGAATCCCCAAAACATGGATATGCAACGATTTAGTTCTTAAATTTAGATAGATAAATAGATAAAATACACATACTAACGAAACTATATAAGCATATACGCATTGATTAATGGATATAAGGAGAAATAAATCAAAATCAAGTACTAAAGTTTTGCAGTTTTTACTTGCAACGCGAAACACAAATAACGTGCGCGATTTAGCTGTGTAATTAAAACTTTGCGAACAAAATACAAAATTTTTTGAGTAAGACCTTCTCCCTTTCTCTCTTTTGTGAAAAAAACTACTTATTTATTTAAAAATTATGTGCAGTTCGTATGCTTTAAATGAATTGTTTAAAATTCTTGAATTCCCACAATCCCCAGTAGCACAAAGATATTGGCCCAATATTCGTAATAATATTGGGCCAATATATCTTTCGTCAGATTTTTTCTAGCATGGTCCAATATTGAAACCCAACATTGGCCCGAAGTTGTTTGACATTATATAACCGATATTGAAAATCCGCATTGGGCCGAAATTGTTTTACATTATATTCTAGGAAAGTTGAGGGTGAAATTGAAAGAAAAAAAGTTAGCCACCTAGTACTTACTACGTAGTAGAATTTCTAAAAGTGATATGTCACGATCGTGTCGACAAACGTTTGTTTTCAGGAAATGTTTATAGTAGGTACTTAGGGGCATAGAAGCGGGGGGGGTGACAATACCCACCCAAATGATAAGGGGGAGAAGGGAGTTACATGATATAAAATGTACCCTCCAAACTCTTTGAAAAAATCGTATCAATAAATTTTTACTGATTTTTTGGAAAATAACGATAATAATTATCGTAAAAATCTGTAGATAACTAACCAAAGTGTTTTAATAATTTTTGGAAATTCCGCACTCCACAGTGTTTTGCAATTATCGTTACTTTACAAAAAATATTAAAAACTCCGCCAGCAGATGGTTCGCGCGTTGCGAAAACCCGATGCTTTTTTAACGTATAATACTACGGTGGAGAAAATTAAAAGCTTGACTCATTCAACAGTTACAGTGGAGAATGAGATACATTTTCTTCACAGTTTAAGACTGAGCCACTTTTTCAGTTCGTATAGGAAATGTAACAATTCTCTAATATGATTAGAAAAACAATATTTTTTAATCCAGAAATATTTTAATTAAAAAATATAAAACCGCAAGGAAAAAGTTAGATTTATTTCTCAGAGTGTTATTAGACATATTAAAAAAACATAACAAATATATTCATTTTTAAGAATAAAAAAATAAACTTATTTTAGTTCTTGCACTTGAATTTAAGAAATATTAAAGTAACGGTTTTTAGTATTTTATATTTTCTTTTAATATACATAAGTTCTTGACACTCTTTTATTATCAAAGCCATGAAAAATACATATAATATTTATCTTTCCTAGTACCTTTAAGTCAACTCTAAATAGTTATCTTTAGTGAAAGTTTGTCTTGTTTCAACAGATTTGTAATTCTCATAATCATTGTACTACCCTTTTAGAAGTATTTAGATTTTTACAAACTTGTTACTCTTAATTTGTTATTTTAGTTCAACCGAATTGTTTTCAAGTTATTTATTAGTTACTGGAATTGAGCACTTAAAAATCTCTCTTTTACTTTTTAAAAATTTTGTAATGTCTTGTTTAACATTTTAAATTTTCCAATTTCTAAATGCAGCGAAGAGGGGGGATTTTTATGTGTACAGTGTGGATATATATGGTTGACCCTACGAGTAGAAGTGCATACAATTTAAAATTATTTAAAGGATTGTGTCTTATACTTATAAAATAACAAGTTAATAATTTTTTTATTATACCTCTCTGAAAAACATCATTATTTTTTTCACTTACAGAAAAAAACATTTTATTTCTTGCATATAATCCCAGAACATACATAAAGTTAACATATTATATTAAATAAAATATTATTAAATTAAATAAAAAGATATCTTAGATTACACTTCCGTACAGGCTTTTCCCATGCTAGTATGATTCAAAGAAAAGCTCGGGGAAAGCAAATTTTCCGAACACTTAAATTTTCCTTTGATGATTACTTACTAATATAATTTGTTTATTTTACCTCTCTGAAAGAAACTTCAATACTTTACATCTTTCAGTACCAGGAGAATTGAACATCAAACATAACATTTTATTGCATACAATATTTAAACTTACTTTAATTATTTTTGTGTTATTTTTTAAAGGTATAATAAAAAAATATCATACATCCGTAAAGGCATTTCCCGTGCTCTTATGATTTAGTGATAAGCTCGGGAAAAGCCTATTTTCCGGACCCTTAAATTTCCTTATGATGATCAGTTACTGATATCATGTTTTAATCCACAGTATTTCTTACAGAATCTAAGAAAACTCTAAAAGGTATGCGGGACTGGTGGACAACATTTTTATATGTAAAATGAGAAAATTAGACTTTGTTTTAGTTCCAATTAAAAATCTTTGTAGTGCCTTAACTGCGGACTCTATTTTTTGAGGGGCAAACTATTTTTTAATTAGGTAGATAAAATATATTGTAGAAACGCTATATTTACTGCAAAAACGGGTGTTAAGATACAAATAAAAATAATTGAAAATCTTCTTTAGAATATTATTTTATTAAATTTAATTTGTATTGGGTAAGAAAATATTTCGTCCATTTTTTTTTACAAAATTTAGGGCAGGTATATTATAGATTTTTTTTAATAATGTCGTACAATAATGGCTAGACATATTTTTTTTATAGTTTACCCCTCTGTATTTTTCTTAGACCTGTGTAGCTCTTAAAAAATGTTTCATTAATTCATATTAAGATTAGGTTCATCAATTTTATAACAAATATTTTAGTTTTTATAGCTGATTGCAGATAATAGCTAGTATAGTGAAAATCGGGATTTAAAAATTAAAGCTTCACAGGTCAGCTTCTGGCTGAAACCATATAGTGGTACCGAGCATCATTCCCGATTTACCTAGATTTATTTAACTCATTTAGTACCTACCCCTATGTAGTAAATAGATTTATTGTACAAAATTTAATATTATCTGAATAATGTAAATAATAACTAAATCTTCTAATAGTAGGTTAAATGCATACCGGAAATATTTTTAAAACCATTAAAACAGACAAAATATTTTTGGTGTGCAGTATGCAGTAGGTAGATTTAATAAGTAGCTTACTAACTCAAAATATTCTTTTTTATTAACCTTTATATATGCACGCCCTTAGATCCATTTACAAAAAATGTTTAGAATCATATTTAAATCTGAACTAACCAAAATTAATTGGCAATTTTTTTAAATCAAAATACAACAATATCCCATGTTGAAGTTAAAGTGTTGTTGGCAGGATTCGGCAGGACTTCCTACATGAAATCACGAGCACAGGGTCCTGGTGGATGCGCCAGTTTTTGGCGTGCCGAAAAGCGTTTCCGATTCTCCATCAGGCACATGGTTAAAACGCAATGGTTCTATTGGTCAGTCATCATGTTGGTTTTCTTTAACACCTTTTGTGTGGCGGTCGAGTACCACGGACAACCGCAATGGCTAAGTGACTTTTTGTGTAAGTAAAAACTTATATTTAAGACGTTTTCATATTTTTCATATTTGTATAGTAAAGTCTGTATATATTTTAATTAATATTTTTTATAGTTAAGATGTAATAATTAAAAACTGTCAACATTTAACATTTAACTTTCCTATCACAGTTATTTTTAGCTTTAGTTGGCATTCGTTGGACAGCTATATCAAGCTTAATTTGTAAACAGTAATATACAGGGTGGCCCAATAAAAACGAAACACATGAGTTTGCAAATCGCTTTACCCTTTCGCGCTGTGGTTACAACCCCTAAAAATGGCATGATAGGACAAGTTATACCTCATTTAAAGGATCTTGCTTCCCTCCCCTTATAAACCAAAAAAAATCTATCCATTCGTTTTCAAGAGCATTTCCTTTCTTATTCAAATAAAAAGTACAGAAAACCAATTTAGGAAAAATTTGTTTTTGAAAACTGTTAAAGCATAAAAAATCCATAATCAGTCTATTAAGTTCACAAAATTAGTTCAGTTTTATTCAACAATGATTTAAATGTAAATCAATATTATACAGTATTGAGGAAATCGTGCTGCAGATTTATTTAATAAACACTATCCAGGTAGGATGGTGAATAAAAAAAACTCGCAAAGTTTGGAAAAATAAGATCAGTAGTGAACAAAAAATGGATCAGGACAAGTTGTTGCTGACCCAACTTTAAGCCCGTTAAAATTAGTTGTGGTTAATAACATTCCCAATTTGACCATTCAACGGAGAATATTTAGTTCATCAATTAAATGAGAATGAATTTGACCGGCGACTCTAGTTTTACAAAACTATGACTGAACAAATAGCTAATGATGGCAATTTGCTTTTCAATTCCGCCAGACAATCTCAAAAATAACTCAGATTAAGAGGAGTTTGAGTGTTAGTGGAAAATACTTAGATTTGAATGTTAGCAGTAATTACGGCGTTAACCCGTAACCGGTACGGTGGTGTCTGGGAGACACTCATCAACGAACAAAGCGCTTTCACACCCTCACCTTTTGTTTTAAAAATCTGTCGCTTCCAATACTTTTAAGTTAAGCAGTTATCAATATGCTCTCAGACTTTGAACAAGTTGGATTGTCAAACGGACAAATTATTACGAGTCAAAGTGTTGAGGTGTCTAGTAGACCACTGAGTACCGTTTACGTAATTTTTATAAAACAATTAATTCCTTATGGATTCGCAACAAGGGCTTTCTAAAAGTGTCAAAATGATAAGAAAGGCTTCAAGGAAACTGTAATGTAGTGGTTTTATGAAATCGACAGCGATATAAGTGATATAGATGACTGTAGTGTACTACATAACCATTATAGTGATTGTGTCGTTGAAGATAATCATACCAGCGATTGAGGACTTGTCTGTGAAGAGTCTATAGAAAATAATTTTATAGGGTCAGATAGAGAAGAATTTAAATTTTTTTAATAATTTGAAAAAAAAAACAAAAAAGTTACTATGGAAAAAATAATTGTAAAAATCAGCTATAGTTTGAAGCAGTTATTTTTGCTGTTAAAAAAAGATATATTTAAATTTTTTTTGTTTATGTTATTTTTTAAGGTATATTCTTCGAAATAAAGATCGTTTTATTTTGTTTGGTTTAATATTTTTTATAGTTTAATCACAAAGTCTGCACTACTGCACTTTTTGTACATGTTTTGATTAAAACCTATTTGTTTAAATTTTTCTTTTATTAGTTATTATTTTACTTTATATATAGTTCCTAGTATCCCCAAAGCCTCAGATAAAAAAAATAATATAAATTATAATTTTAAAAGGCAGGTGTCTCTCAGACCCCTTAGTACCGTTTATGACCTGAATGTCGTACCGTACCGGTTACGGGTTAAGGTAAGGTAAGGTAAGAAAAAACTCAAACGCCATAATTGTCGCTACTGGTAAGATGCAAATTTCAATATTTTCAACTTGCACTCAAACTCCCCTAAATCTGGGCAGATAATTTTTGAGATTGTCTGACTGGGCCCATTTTTCTTGAACCCGGATGAAACGTATTTTGAGTTACTAGAAGATGTAGTTCATGCCTGACTGGTCGATATTGTTAAAACTACTATATTTGTTAAATAAACAAACTCCTTATTAAAGCTTTCAAAAATAAGGGCAGTTTTGTCAACATCACCTTATAAGTTAATAACTAAAAAATAAAAAACCTTTACTTTAGAGATACGTCTAATTTATAAATTTTTAGATTATGCTGAATATGTATTCTTGGGCCTGTTCATGTCTGAAATGTTTATCAAAATGTACGCATTGGGGCCAAGAATATATTTTGAATCGGCTTTTAATCGTTTTGACTGCGTCGTCATTTCCGGTTCCATATTCGAGGTAATCTGGTCGGAAGTCAAAGGCGGTTCCTTCGGCCTTTCTGTGTTGAGAGCGCTTAGGCTACTCAGGATATTTAAGGTTTGTTTTTTGTTTTCTTTTGTAAATTAAAAACTATTAATTGTATTTTATTTTTAGGTGACCAAGTACTGGTCTTCGCTCCGAAACCTGGTGATATCGCTGCTCAATTCGATGAGATCCATTATTTCTCTGTTGTTCCTTCTGTTCTTGTTCATTCTTATATTCGCATTGCTCGGCATGCAACTTTTTGGCGGGCAATTCAACTTTGAGGAGGGTACTCCTCCGGCTAACTTCAACACCTTCCCGATAGCACTATTAACAGTATTTCAAGTACGTCCTAATTTTACATATAAATAATTACATTAAATTAATAATATGAATGTTTTTGTAGATTTTGACGGGTGAAGACTGGAATGAGGTCATGTACAATGGAATAGAGGCTCTAGGTGGACCAAACGGGGGCATGATATACTCCCTTTACTTTATAATCCTTATGTTGTTCGGAAACTACACTTTGCTCAACGTTTTCTTGGCTATCGCCGTAGACAATTTGGCGAACGCCCAAGAACTGACCGCTGCAGAAGAAGAACAGGCTGAGGAAAATAAAGAAAAACAGGCTATGGAGTTGGAAAAGGAAATGGAAACTCTAACTATGGAGGGTTCGAATCCGGGAATAGATGTGATGTCATCCAGTCCGGTTAGAAGAAAAAAGAAAGACGACAAGCCTCCTGACGAAGAAGAGGAAATCGTTGGCCCAAAACCTATGCTGCCATACACTAGCATGTTTATCCTATCATCTACAAATCCGTTAGTATAATTGAAATTATTAAATGTTAAAAGTAAAATAGTCAAAATGGAGAGGGTCAAATATTTTATGGTCATAAAAGATATAAAAAAGTTTTTAGCAATTTAAACAAAAACAATATAAAACCAAAAACATGCTTTATGATTATAAAACATATTTGTTCCATCCCAGCACATATTATATAGTACCAATATTTATTTTAATATCGATAATAGTTTCTTAGAAGACTTCTAAACTGGGTTTAAACTTGTAGAATCTTATTTTTGAATAGTGCTTTAACTTAAATTTCATTGTAGCATTCGAAGAGGCGCCCATTGGGTTGTAAATCTGCGCTACTTTGACTTTTTCATTATGGTGGTCATTTGCCTAAGTTCGATGGCGTTGGCTGCCGAGGACCCGGTTGTGGAGAAATCGTTTCGCAATAACATCCTCGATAAATTTGATTACGCCTTCACCGGCGTCTTTGCCGTCGAGATGTTCCTCAAGATCGTCGATTTAGGCGTGATCCTGCATCCCGGCGCATACCTTAGAGAATTCTGGAACATCATGGACGCCGTTGTCGTCATATGCGCCCTCGTCTCCATGGGATTTGATTTTGCGTAAGTTATATTATTATACAAAAGTTATATGTATGCATGTATAACACTAACACACTAACACAAATACTTTTTCCCCACTAACATTTCTGAAATCAACCCACTACAACATTTCAGAAACCTACTTGAAGCCATACCCAAGCCCAAAACTAGGTAAACCCCAAAAACAAAATGTAGAATAGCGTTTTTTAATACCAAGGAACCTAAGCGAACCAATAAATTGCAAAAGGGATTAATTACAACCACTAAAAATTAAATTACTTTGAAGCATCACTTTAGTTCCATGGTACAGATTTAAAAAACAAGTGTTAAAAGTACCATTAAGTTACAATTAAACATTCAAAATATCATTTCCTTGTTCATTACTTTTAACATGTACTTATACCTACAACCTTGGCGTAGAAATCTTTTTCAAATCCGGGTAGACTGGAACCATATTTAAAAGGTCCCAATCTTGTCTATGTTTATAATAAGTAGACATTTTTACACCACTGTAACACATAGTTTTTTTAATACTTTTACTTTAAAAATTACTTTTATCACTGGTATATTTCTTACTAAACATATACACTATTTATTGCATGTCTTAGGCCGCGAGTATATTGGAGCTGTGATAAACGATAAGATCGTTTTCGCTATCGTTACTAGTCTTTTAAAACACATTTCATCGTTAGTAACAATAGCGACGATACTCTTATCGTTTATATCAGCTCCAACATACTCGCGGCCTTGACCATTTTCAAGTATAATTTTTTTTTTAAACAAAACTAAGAATTAAAATGGTTGAAGATTTTGTTTGCTGGTGCTAATGAACCTTCTTTATTTGAAAAAGCAAACAAATGTTATGTATTAATAATACTTTTTATTTATTTTACAGGCAAAGTTCAGCTGGTGCAAATTTGTCCACAATCAAATCTCTGCGAGTGCTTCGAGTGTTAAGACCTTTAAAAACAATTAAACGAGTGCCGAAATTAAAAGCAGTGTTCGACTGTTTAGTGAACTCGTTAAAAAATGTGATAAACATTCTTATAGTGTATATATTATTCCACTTTATATTTGCTGTGATCGCCGTTCAGTTGTTCAACGGAAAATTTTTTCATTGTACTGATGGTAGTAAATTTACCGAATCTACGTGCCAGTAAGTTGAGCAGGATAATTTGATTTTGCTTTCTACTAATATTAATGCCAACATTTTCAGGGGTCAGTATTTTGTATATGAAGAGGACAGCGATGTACCTCGAGTAGAAAGCCGGATATGGAGCGTTCAAAAATTTCATTACGATGACGTTGCGATGGCTATGTTGACTCTTTTTGCTGTGCAAACTGGAGAAGGCTGGCCGCAGTATGTATTTTAAACACTAGTTTATTAGCAATATTTTATATAGTATTTTGTGTGTCAAGTTCAAATGAGCTATCTAAAATGCCTTATAATGAGTTTTTACAAGAAAATAAATGTTCTTTAACTGTGATTAATAATAATAATATTAATAATAATGTTTATGTATGTTCAACAAAACAGTGTTATTGCACTGGTGCCATGAACTAACACAAAATATTACAATCACATTTATGAAGTATTAATAAAAAAATAACAGAATAATACATAAAAATAGACAAAATATACAGAAAAAATATAAAAGTAAATAAATAAATAAATAAATCGTTTATTAGCGAAAGCTATAAATGTTACATTTTATATATAAATATACTTATTATCACAATCCAAAATCAAACGTTTGTGTGTACATAAAATGATAGTGCCCTTTTAAATTTACTATAATTTGACTCACTTTTAATTATCACAGGTAAGTTATTAAACAAAATTAGACCATTATAGAATATTGTTCTATAAAGAGCACAACCACTTGCTGTATCCACATAAAAATCACTTGCTGTTCTCGTGTTATATTCATGAACATTATTAACAAATATTAATTTGCTATATAAATAAAATGGTGTTATTTTATAAACTAAATCAAGAGTACGGTATAAAAGTCTTTGGTTAACATTCATAAAATTGAGGACTTCCAACATAATATTAATTGGAGTATATCTGTTACAATGCAAGATTGACCTCAAAGCTTTATTTTGTAAAACTTGGAATTGTTCCTTTTCGTTTTTATTTAAAAGAAATAATATAGAGGCACAATAATCCAAGTGTGGCGCTATAATGGATTTATACAACAGGATTTTAGTTGCGATCTATTCTTTAGATAAGACTTGGACCAATTTAAAACACTGCCTCCCAGTCCTATTCCTTTCAACTTACACACCAATAAATCTCTATCCACAGTTTCAAATGCCCGTTTAAAATCCAAAAACACAGCTACCACAAATTTATTATTTTCTAAACATTTGTACCACTCATCACTAGGGATGGGATTTTAGTTATTTTACCTTTTTTTAACCGATGTAACTATTTGAAAACCAATAATGCCAAAATGTGTTTTAAAAGAATTTCTTTTATATGAACCTAACTTGTTTTCACCTTTTTTACCTTTTTTGGAGGTTTTTGCTTTTAACTACCTTTTTTATACTTTTGTTACCTATTTTTTTAAACTTTTTTTCACGTTTTTTACCTTTTTTGGAGGTTTTTGCTTTAAACTACCTTTTTATACTTTTGTTACATATTTTTTAATTTGTCAGTTTATTTTCACATATTTGTTACCTATTTTTACGTATTTTTACTTATTTTATTTTTTTTGTTCTTTTTAAAATTTGCGCCAATATTTTAACCAGGGCGTGCAACTCAACGGTATAGAATTTTTTCTTATGGTTACAGACTGTAACAGTAACTTTCTTTACAGTTACCTTCTTTGTAGTTACTCACTACTAGTGAGCTTATGTTCTGTCATAGAACTTCTGTGTAGTGAGTGTCACTCAGTTAAACACAGTTTATTGCATAGAAATAGTTTATTGTGGGTATGTTCTGTGTTTGGGTATGCGGCTAAACAAAATTATAAACGAAACTTAAACTTTTAATGATTTCTTAACCTAAAATGCAGTTTTTTTAACCTAAAATGCTTTTTTTAGTACCTTTTTAGTTACCTATTTTTCAGTTTTTAGTACCTAAATATCCCATCCCTACTCATCACATACATTAAGTATAACAGATTCACAAGAATGCTTTTTTCTAAACCCAGACTGGTTATAAATAATCACATAATTTGTATCACAGAAATTCATTAGTTGATTCCTAACCTCAACTTCTAAAATTTTTTCATAAATTGTTACAGTATTTATTGGTCTATGTTTTTCCACTAAAAATGTGTTTGGAACTTTAGGAACAGGGATAACTACTGAAACTTTCTGGAAAAACTCCAGTTTGTAACGATTGGTTTACCACCTCAATAAAACGATTTTCAATATGTGGAATGAATCTTTTATCATTCTTGTATTAACTAAATCTTCAATGTTAATTGTGTTTTTTAATTTCATTATGATTTTTCTTAGTTTATGCATTGTTATATTTTCAAACTGATTTAATTCATTTTTTTGCTGAATATTCTTTAATGTTACTTCATAATCATTTTTTGTTTTAATAGTTTTTACTATGTCACTGATACTTGCCAAAAAATAATGATTAAATTTTGATGCTATTATGTTTGGATCAGAAGCTTCAATATCGTTAAACCTTATTGTGTCCTGCATTGCACCTGCTTTATTTGGTAATAATTTTTTTAATTATTTCCATAACTCCATATTATTTTTGCTATCTTTAATTTGATTTTTGTAATACATTTCTTTGTTAATCCTTATTTTTGTTGTAATTTGGTTTCTCTTTAGTTTATATAATTGCCAGTCTTCCTCAGTTTTAGTAAATAAATATTTTTTATACTGAATATCCCTCTCCCTCATTAATAATATTATTTCTTTATTAATCCATTTTTTTGTTTCATGACACTTTAAAATTTTAATTTCTCTAATTTCGCTAATTTTGTCTATTGATTGTTTTATGTTAAATTCCAATTGTGAAGATAATAAATTTACATTTGTAAAATTGTTGTTCCATGTGGTTTTATTTAGTTCTTCTTGAAATCTATCTGTGCTGTAATTTGTTAAATTTCTTATTTTTATAGTTGAATATTTATTGTTAACAGTGGCGGCTGGTGGATTTTGGGCACACCCATATCTCAGTTATTAGACATGGGACCCACATCAAACTTATATGAGTTTATAATGACATTGTATAGACAAGTTCTGCGCGAGCAGAATTTAAATTAAAGTTTGCGAAAAAAAGTTAGTTTTTAAGTGCAACCCCCAGCCTCCTGCCCCTCCAAATTAAGATAATTCAAATTAAAGTGGTACAATATTTAATTCACTGAAATTTATCGACAAATTTCAAATTTTATTAAAAAAATTCAAGAATTACAGGTTTTATACCATTTATAATTTTTATTATTTCTTTTACTAAATTTAAAAAAATTTGAAATGGTATAAAATCTGTAATACTTGAATTTTTTTAATAAAATTTGAAATTTGTCGATAAACTTCAGTGAATTAAATATTGTACCACTTTAATTTAAATTATCTTAATTTGGAGGGGCAGGAGGCTGGGGGTTGCACTTAAAAACTAACTTTTTTTCGCAAACTTTAATTTAAATTCTGCTTGCGCAGAACTTGTCTATATAATGTCATTATAAACTCATATAAATTTGATGTGGGTCCCATGTATAATAACTGAGATATGGGTGTGCCAAAATCCACCAGCCGCCACTGATTGTTAAGTTTATTTATATTATCTTCGATATCTATTGTCAATATATTATGATCACTTATCCTCGGTGTTGTAAGAACTTCATGTTTTAACTATAGTTCTTTTTCATTAGTATATATTATTAGTATATATATATATTTATATATATATATATATATATATACATCCCACTACACTTATGGCGTCCTTTCATGGACGTCACTTATGGCTTCCCCCTTAAGGAAGCATATATATTCATTTTTGATTAAAGTATATTAGCTAACCCATTCTCCTTGTGCCTCCACTCGTTTAAAATTTTAGTTATTTTTTTTTAAATATACGGCTTTGTGACCTCCTTTTATAATCCAGACATATGAGCCCCTCGAAATATATGATTTTGTACATTTCACAATATATATGAACTCCGGCAATGTTGCCATATTTCATAATATAAAAAACTATTATATTTTTATAAAACTTAGGATATAACTTGAAATATTATAAATACCCTATATTATTTAGACTTTCTTAACAATTTTTGAATAGGTATTAAACGAATGGTGAGATTAAAAAACTTAATTTTATTGTTAGAAAACAAATAAATTGTTTTTAGTTATTTTTAATTTGGCTCGATCTAGCATAAGAAAATTTGCGGTAGGTATATAAATTCAATTAAATAAAGGTATTAAACGAATGGTGAGATTAAAAAACTTAATTTTATTGTTAGAAAACAAATAAATTGTTTTTAGTTATTTTTAATTTGGCTCGATCTATAGATCGAGCCAAATTAAAAATAACTATAGCATAGCATAAGAAAATTTGCGGTAGGTATATAAATTCAATTAAATTCAAAACTTTATATTAAATACCTACCTATAGGTATACTAATGTTAAAAAACTGTTTTTCAGAACACCATTTTACTTTGGAAAAAATCATATTTATTTATTTGACAATATAATTCATTAATATTAGAACCAATAAAATGCCAGTATTCCATAGTGACGTATTTTATCACAGCGGCAATAATTTTTATTATTGTTTACACGTTACTATGAACTTTGACGTTTTTTTGATTTGACATTTGTTGTCATTTAAATACTGTGTTTGTTACCTAAATGATTAAAATAATGAATTATAAACTCTAAAAGATCGATGGGTTGGTGTAAACGATAATAAAATTAAGGTAAGTTTGAATAAATAAGGTTTATTAAAGTCTTTTTATATTTTAAAGCACATTTTAATTTCAAATGTCAAACTAAAAATTCGTTAAATCCTAAAACTCATTATATTTTCTCACTAAATATAACTCGTGGTATGATTAATTATCGATGATATTTACTCATTAAAACCGAAGCAGCACATTTCACTCGTCCTGCGGACTCGTGAAATCTGCAGCTCGGTTTCAATTCGAAAATATCATCGATGATAATCATACCACTAGTTATATTATGGGTGACAATATTTATTATATGAGACGTATGTATACTTTTTGCTTTTTAACAGTAAAGGACAAAAATGTTGTGGCTGTAATTAAAAATAAATGTGCTAATATTCAAATTGTATTACAACAATTGTAATTGCAATACCACATTTATTTTTACTTATCATTACAATGTTTTTTTGTGAGTTTTGCATACGCCTCATC